TATCCCCGACATCAATGTTGTTAGACAGTGTATGCCCTTAGCTCCAATCAAATTGATGTACATATACATTTATTATAAATGAATAAAAGTACATAATTGATTCATGTTATATYTRGTRTGYTTYTRTGTARTTACMCTTAAACTGGACACTTATGAGACTCATGTTAGTTTAGAATGTTCTCAGCCGTTGGATAGGCTTGAGGAAGTTTATCTAGCCAAGGATGACACTAATGTGCTGCCAAATAGGTTGGGGTGGCTTGTTTCAGCTGCCAGGGTTAAACTCGAAGCACATGTAGTGTGTGTTTGTTTGAAACACTGAACCCAAACCATTTTCCAGTTATGCCCTAGACCTTGGAGATTGGTAGGAAAAATTGGAAAGTTACAACATAACCCCTAGACACGATTATGGTACTGCACTTGGTGTTGGAATGGGCTGTCTTTGATATGCCCATCAGTGAAATCCTTTGGGGGTCAAAACCTGAGTATGTTGGGGCAGTCTAAGAATTCACTCGAGTGGATGATCATAGTGACAGGATCAGCCCCTTTGTCGGACAAAGTGAATAATCGGGACTGCACTCTCTCTGATGGAAACCAAAACTACCGATAGTCGATTTCAAACTTGTTTGAGATTTGTTTTTGCAAAATATAATTATATGAATATATATATATATATATATATATATATATATATATATTATGTTTTAAGAAAATGTTTGCAAAATGTTTTAATTCCCGCGATCCATCCGAGTAGAGAGTGCAACACTGCACCTTGCAGCCTAGAGAGAAGTCCTCCCTTGTCGGGTAGTGTTTGATCATTAAGAGCTAAGAGGTTAAGTGTAAGACCAATTAAGATTGTTATACCTAATGGGCTAATCTCACTTAAGACCATTGTCTCTGAGACTTCATAGGATGGATAGACTCAAGGACCATTTACTGTAAATGTTAGGCCCATTAAGAAACCATACTAATGGACTCAGGGGTTCGTTATGTTTGATAGTGAATTCGGCCAGGATTTTTCACAGAAAATGGGCTGAACCCACTTGGGTTGGATTAATCAGTGAGTCACTTGCTTAATGGGCCTAAGGCTCATGATTGATTGGATTAATCAGGGTGTCACATGACAGTTTAAAGCAATCATGCGACATGGGCGAATATGGGATGGATATGGGCTTAGATTAGCAATAGGATAAGAGGATAACTCTTATCCACTTAAGGAGTCCAGATCCAAATAAAGATTTGGATTAGGAAGCTCCTAATTGGATTATGAGAGTTGATCTTTTAAGCTTATAAATAAAGGAGGGCGAACTGCTCCAAATATCACCTTTCTGCTCTTAGTTTTCTCCCTCTGCTCTTATCACCCAAACCCTAGTTCTTTCTCCATCTGGTGTTTGATCTTGATCAGTCTTGGTTTCTAATTTTTGCAAGAAAAATCATATTTGCATCATGCTCACATCCCTTGTTCGATCCAAGCTGTTGGATTGCAGTTCTTGATGAAGGACTGCATTGCTGAACCGGCTTCACCCTGAGTTGCGCCATATTCAGTGGAAGCTGATTTTGGTATCCTGTTTGGTCATGAACACCCACTTTGGGAACTATACATGTGGAATCCGTATCAGATATTCTTCTCCCTTTCTTTTGGTTTCAGATTTGGTCTGGTTCATTGCAAGAACGATCCTTGAAAAATGTAGTTTTTCTAAACAAGAAGATTTATGAGAATGCTACCATGATTGTAAATAAAGAGAGAAGAATCGGAGTTAGAGGCCATAAAAACCAAACCCAACCAATGTGGAGCTTAACTTAGAGAACCAAGCATAGGGTGCTTGTTTCAAACCATAGAGAAGGGTGGATATAACTGGAATTAGAGAGAAAGAGGG